AGCGAGGAATACTATGGATTCTCATGAAACTCACAATACCAATTCACGTCTGAAGCTCGTCAAAAGTCAGCTCTTTCCGGGTTTTTGCACTTTTTGACTTAGCATACGCTTTTGTATTAAAAACTAGCGAGCTGATCATTTCTGGAGTAACAAACCGCAAAAAATTACAAGCGGGCAGCAGTCTATCGCGGCAGCATCCCCGGCGAAGACGCTGGAGCATGCATGAGGAGCGTACGCGTGTCGAAATGGCTCGTACAGAGTGAGGGCGCTCATTGTGTCCTTCATTGTCACCCTTTCTCGTCTCACTGCGTTGGGGTGACCTTTTTTGGTGTGTGGCCGCCTTTGATCGCGGCGCATGAGGAGTCTATGTTTCGCTTTCTTATGCTCTTTTTTTGTTGCATCCGTCTAAATCTGCGCTTTTGATGGGTAGTTTAGATTGTCAGAAAACCAAGTGGTTTTCAAGAAAATGACCAATGATGCAAATTTGCATCATTCAGGCAAGAAGAGATAATTTTTCGATTCTCTTGCTTTGGCTTCCATACACGCGTCAATATTCCTACATCATGGACTTAACTATGTAACCTAGTCCGTCATAACCGGAAATGACCATGGCACCCAAACTGGCCACTCTTATTAACGGGTGGTTGGGAGAAGAGAAGGTACTAATTGGTGTTTTTTTAGAATGAGTACGTTACTTGCAGATTCGGCATACCCTGCCAAATTCACACTCAATCCGATCTTTTCGGCATACAAGTCCAATATGCTTGGTACGGATACAGAATAATTGAACACCTGTGCCACGCACGACCGTGTTGTAGGCGAGCATACGGTAGGTGCTTAAAATATTGATGGGGATCGCTGCATGAAATTCGAAGTTTGGCGCAGAGAATATGGTGAGTTTATGAACTAAACCACATCTTGTATTACGTCACACAATATGCTTAGCGGTTCCAATGATGAGTGGAGTGTCAAGGAAATACCAGACAATAGAGAGGATGATGATGTCAGATTCGAGGATGATACCATCCTTATCAGAAGACCGGCCTCAATAGCGGCAAGGTGGGACACGTGTCTTTTGGAATCGTGCAATCAGCGTAAAGGTGGTGTCGGTTGCAACATTGATGATATAGTGAAACCATACCGAAGGGTCAGCTAAAAATGCAATTGCAATCGCTGTACGAGCAGTATCCAGTTCATCAAATAGGCCAACATTGAAGCCGTACGGCCCAGTCCATCACGATCATGCACTTTTCTCGGTGGACATTGGTTCAGGCGATCTCGAAGGCAGGATATCAAAGCCAAATACACAATTCAGTTTCTCCGCCCGACCGTCATCCGCGGACCTAGGTAACATGTTCATGCCGCAGGCTGGGCGCTGCGTCAAATCCGAAAGTAAGCACGCGCTGATCTACGCTTCTTCGTGTCATAGATTCCGACGGGATTTCTACCAACTCGCACACAGTTGACATCGTGAAGTTCTGGCCTGGAGAAGGTTGTGCACAGCGTCACCAAGCAAGCAGGTATATTGGTAAATGCTGACGAAGATGGGGTTCTCCTCGCATTCCGCAAACACATACTCGCGTATGCAACGCTCCTACGTAAAGAATACACGATATAGAGTTGTGCAAAGACAAAGCCAGGAATAACATTTGCAGATGCACTTTAACAAATACAATGTCGTGGCATTTTTTTTTGTTTTGTTAAATTGAGTCTTGGGCTGACTTCGCAACAGCGCGACCAAACTTGGAGACATATTCCAGGATCTCGTCCACCGACTTTTTCTGGCGCAGAATCTCGCGCTAGCTCATGCTTCCGGTCCGCACGCCGCTCCTCTATTTCGAGTTGGCGCAGCTCACTCTCTGTTTCTCGCTGTAGTTTTTCTGCCCGCTGCTTTTCATTTTATTGGCGTTTGTCTTCTTCGACTATTTTTTCTTGAGGCAGTCGCTCTTGGTAGCACGATTCTGTGCAAACGCCGTTGAGAGAAACGCGTGTTTCGTGAACATTGGCATAGTTTGGCATATTGGTGGTTATATCGTTGATGCCCTTGCGACGCTAACTCGTGTGCGAAAATCTGGACCAGTTCCTCAAACTGTTAGATGACCCCAAATGCCGATCTGCCGTACTACGTTGGGCTGGCAGTAACAGACTTGGAGACAGCTATTGGCCCCGCCATGCTGATACAGAATCGGCAAAACCAACGCCCATTCCAGACTGGATACGCTTTCCTCAGTTAGAGCTCTTAGTGTTAACTGCGACTCCGTCGTAAGCATGTCTGTTGC